TCTCCTGTTCGAAAGATTGACAAGGGTTCACTTTGCAGCATTCTTAAGGACCAGTGGTTTCTACGTTTTTCCACCCCGGAAATAATCATTTCTGATAATGCTTCTGTATTTTTATCACGGGAATTTAAAAATCTTCTTGAACGGTTCAATATCCGGCATTGGTTAAACTCAAAGTACCACTCGCAGGCTAACCCGGTCGAGAGGGTAAATCGTACCATCAATGCCGCAATACGTACCTATGTTCGCGAAGACCAACGACTATGGGACACTCGCCTGTCCGAAGTAGAAACCATGTTGAATACGTCGGTACATTCTTCAATAGGGTTTACCCCTTTCTTCGTCATTCATGGGCACGAAGCGTTCATTAAAGGCACGGATCATAAATGGTTCGGCACGGAAAATCAACGGCCTCTTATGGAGCAAGAAGAGGCTCGAAAAAAACTATTTGAACGTATATACGAGCTTGTTCAAACAAACCTCCGCAAAGCTCACGAAGCGGGTAAATCACGTTATAATCTCCGGCATAGGCAGTACGCACAATCACTTCAAGTTGGCCAACTAGTATATAGGCGAAATATGAAGCAGTCGAGCGCTGCAGACGCCTACAACGCAAAATATGGACCGCTATACTTGCCTGCTCGAATCAAAGCTCGCATAGGCACTTCCTCTTATGAAATAGAAGATCTGGATGGCAAGAACCTGGGAATTTGGCCGGCTGCTTGCCTTAAACCAGGGTAAGCTCTTGAGGGTCGTATTAAGCCGCGAGTTCGTTCTAAGTTCGAATTCGATGATACTTCGTCGAGAATATTGTGTGGTAATCGATTGTTTGGCTGGCTATCCTCTCTCGCAAAGGTTATGAATTTTCCCGTTGGTGTGTAAAGTTGTCCGTATGAAGAACTTTCCACTACTCCCACGCTTGTTATCTAGCTAGTATATTATAATTTCTCTAAAACGAAGAAGAGATATTTTGAGAAATTAATTTGGTAGAATAATAAATTAAACCGCAACGAAGTGTTGTGCGTTTGTCGTCTCGTCGGGACTATCAAAACAGGTTAAATGACAGTTGCTGGCATAGTCTTTTCCAGCACCGGTTATCCTGTTCTGACATTATTCGATTTCGGCTTACATCCCATACCGTTTTCTCGACGGATCGTTTAGTAAACCAGTTTTAACCGGTAGAAATCGTAGAGATGTATGAGTTCCTCTACAAGTTAAGTAATTAATCACTCATTTCAGGATCGGTTTGTAATTGAAATGATTTGTGGATCTTTTCACTGGAGAGTAGTAAATGATCAATCTTATGTCGCTGGAGACCGGAGTCAATGAGACGCTGATGGTCAGTAGCAGGCCCATCAACATGATGTGTCCTGAAAACTGCGCGGAGTTGAATCAATCAACGTTGATGCCCTATGACCCCGAATAGATTCGGATCACAAGCACTCTCCAGAAAAATATCCTGGCAAGGCAGTATAGCCTTCAATAATAACATAGACACTAGATCCAAGCTGACAGTAGAAAAAGTTTTGTCACTGGCTTAGCATTACGTTAATTTAAGTGAGAGGAATGATTGTCGTATGTATGATGAGAAGTGAATGAAATGGAGGACGCGTCCAATGAACGGGAAGAATGAATGTATCCGTGTGAAAGGTAAATGAGAAATAGGTGTTCCAATCTTGGGACAAGAGCTGGGAGTATGATAACTCGATAGGGTGAGGAAAGTTTGAGTATTATCCCCGATACGGCCAAGGTGAAGTGTGGGTAGAAGGAATGATATTCTATACGAGAGATAACGGTCTGTTTACAACGGGCAATCGCGGTTAAATGAAGGGGTCCGGTCATCCAATATATGTTAATTTCTTACAGGTTCTATGTTTGGTAAATTATGGTCGAAAGTAATTGACGAAAAATTGATTGAACAATTTTTCTACTCACCCGCGAGAATAATTGTTACCGATCCACTTGAAATCGGAACAATAGATGTTCATCTGACTGAATTTCTAGATTTTATTAACATTATTTCCTAGTAAATAACTTTTGCTGGCTCTCATTGAAAACTGCGAGTAGTTTATTAATTATAATACAAAAATCTAGCATTGTTAACTTGAATTTAAAAATAGTTTTACTATCGAGCCACCGCCTGAAAGCAAGTGGTATAAAAGCCTTTGTTGGAGTAAACGCTGTAAATGGGCAATTGGTACCGCCACATCAACACTGGATCCGGGAGGAAAAAGGAAAGGATGATGGGAGAAAAGGAAAAGGATGGAAGATGGAGGGCTTGGATAGCAGATTACCGAGGGAGCGATCGTCACTCAAGTCGGGACTAGGAAACAAACCAGAAGTTAATTAAAACCCTCGCATTAAAAGGTTAGGTCGATACGGTGTAGTGAAGCTCCGAGGAGCAACATAGCAACAATCAATACGAAACTAACGATTTTAAATTGGCTCACCACTTTAGTAGCCTATTGGTCCCAAGCAAACGATTAACGTACCCTATTCTAGTTGAAATTCTATTACTACACTATGTTTGTTTTGATTCGCTATGAAAGTTTGACAGATAACATCAGGGGTGTGTGGATTCATGCAGAACATGCAGGGGTGAGTGAAATAGCTTGGGACTGCTTGGGACCGTTGTTCTGGTACTGAGTGAGCCAAAAATAATAATGATTTTCCTCGGGACCCAGTGGTCTTAGAGTTACCTCTATGAACATAGTGAGTTGGTGATAAGATTACCCTAAGGAGTAATCAGGTGATTAAGCCCGAACACAGAAAAGTTCGCGATTGTGAGGTCCGTTTTGTACCACGCTACACGGTACAAAGTCGAGTAAATTACCGTTTGATTCACTTCACCATTCTGTTGCACGCTACGCTGTTTCCCAGCGTGCCAGCAGGTGAATTTCATCCCGAGCACCTCAGCTTGCGATCTACCGCTAACGATCCGCAAAGCTGATTCGACCGACTCCACTGTACGTGGAACCCACGTGGCAGAGTCCACTAGGATACGGCACACATCTCCACTGACGTTGCCGTCGTTCGTTCACCCCTCGAGATCGGCAGCACCATTAGGTAATTTCGACGAAACCACCACGAAGCAGAAAGGTACGTGTCATCCCTCCTTCCAATTCCCACCGTCAACGGGGCCCCAGCGCTACAGTGCAGCAAGAAATAGGCTTTAATATATGTAATTCAAACTAAAAAACACTTTCCAATTACTTATCTTTTTGATCGAAAGAGCCAGCATGTTCGGCAGATGAGGGTTTATTGTCCGCTAGTTATTTCATTTCGGCACAGCAGGTAAGTGACCGGTTGTTCTGAGTCCTCCCGAGGTCGGTGGCCGACCCTGAGAAATTTGAATTATAAGGTGAGCTAGTAACAAAAGAGGCGTGTGTTGCCCACCCCAGACGACCTCCGTGGCTTGACCAGAGGTTAGGGGATCTTGGACGTAGCCCTTCAGGCTCGTTACTTTCAGAAGCCGAATACATCGCCTTATCTGAGGCCTGCAAAGAACTACTGTGGCTTCGAAAACTGCTCGAAGATTTCTGGATGAAGCAGGATGATCCTACCGTCGTGTTCGAGGACAACATCAGCTGCATCGAATTTGTATCGATAGACCGTACATCAAGGCGCTCAAAGCATATCGATACGCGGATGTTCTTCGCCAAAGATTTGTCGGAGAAAGGTTTGGTGGCCATTCGTTATTGCCCATCCGAATCTATGGTCGCCGATATCTTAACCAAGCATTTGGAATACGTGAAGCAGCAGCAATTCTCAGCGATGATTGGTTTGACCGGAAGCAGCAGCCGCTGAAGATGTCGAGGAGGAGTGTAGAAAATACTACATCTGTCCCCATATCTATAGGTGGCAGCAAGAGAGGCGAGAGCAAGAGAGTAAACCAATATATTTTCATTCCATTGTAAAACGTCCGTGAATAAAGTTAGTACGTATCGTTCGCTTTTAACCATTTATTACGCGGTTACCGAAAAAGTCTTTCCGGTCGATTCCTTGGTTCTTCCGTCGGTAGTTCTCCGCTGCATAACCTGCCCGCTGTGGTTAGTTATTATCCAACAAGCTCCAGCTCGGATAAATTTTTAATATAGGCCCTAATTGAAAGATCTGCCAAATGTTTATTAAGGATCGTATTGATTAACATCGACGTCGACACCATAACAGCCTGACATTCGTGTTCAGGATTTAATCAGAGGATATTACCGGTTGGAGCTTACCACCATCAGGAGTGTAAACCGAGGTGTAAACACAATTTCTCACAGTGTGATATTTTGTCTACAACATCCTAATTCACTAGGTAGTATGACGTGATATTTGCTGTTGTATTTAAATGAAGGAATAAAAGAGATGGTTAAACTTTCTTCACCGTCACCATGCCAGTTGATATTTATGAAATATGGACAGTTTTGGCGTGGTGACATGCACTGGACTGAAATTTACTAATACATTTAGAAAATTATGGTCGAAGAATATTTCAAAAATAAAAAGAAAACTAATTATTTACCCTTTGTAGAACCTTAAACAAATTCTAAATGAGCACATTTGGGCTATTCAAACTAACGGGGTTCTACGGTACATGATTATGAGAATAAATAATTTTTAAATATCAAAAAAATATTTTCTTATTCATTTAAAGTACTGCCCAGCTGGTATAATATCTATTTATCGATGTAAGGTTCTGAACCATTTGGTGGATTATTTTAACTTTTGGTTAAAATTTGACAGATGGAAAGTTATCAATTAACCCTGCTATCCGAGCGTGGTTACTTCTGACAAACAATAAGTTAAATTTTGATAACCGTGGCTGAGTTCTTCTCGAAAACCGGTCGATCAGGGATTTTCGAAAATAACTTTCGAAATGTCACTTTTAACCACGAGTTAAATTTAACTCGGGAAATGGTTCACAGCCTAAGTAAGTTTTTCCAAATTTATGCCAAACGGCAGTTAGCCAAATGACACGGCATTATGCCAAATGGGGTAGAGCCATAAAAACTTACCAGTTTTTGCATTGTTTCTAAATCGAGATTACATGTTTCGTTCATTCCGCTACAAATCATTCCACGGTCGTCTATGCTATTACTGGGACTCACAAAGAGATAATTTTGAGCTAGACGCAAGAAACTTGAGAATCTGAAAAATTCAATATAAATATAAATAAAGGTACACCAACAAACACCGTAAACCGCCTTAATCGTACGCTTTATAAAATTCCAAATTTGTTCTAAAAATATGCTATTTAAATTTAGTATTATTTTCGAAACTAACATTGATTCATATTCAAATGAATGATACTTATATAAGAACCGTTGCGAGCGAAAATGGTACACATGCAGTAGAGTAAATTTTACAGGACACGCTCTTTTTCAAAATTCTCTAACAATAAAATCTATTCATCATATTTTCATTGGCGTAGCAAGAAAATTATATGGAGGGTGTCTAGGGGGGCCTGTTGCATTTGTTTTATTTTGTTAAACTACGGTTAAATATAAACTCGCGAAGATGCTATTCAATCAAATTGCGTAACGGCAACTTGTTTTGGGTATTTTTTTTTAACCAATAATATGACGTTGAGGCTTAATATTATTTTAATGTTGAAACAATAAATTTGATTATATTTATTTCATAACAGCGATTCAGACCTCGATTACTGATTTTGAACAAGCAATGATCGTTTGTTCAGGCTTTTTGTAAAAAAATCACATAGCATCCGGATCTCATAAATTTAAGCATCTCAAACTTATGGATTTTTTTTCCTCTGTTCGGGACCTAACACTACTGCGACCAGTAGATTGATCTATTGTAGTATATCCCGTGTCCTTAGTTTAGTGCATGTCGTATTACTATATCACTATTGAGAAATGATGAAGTTTTCGATTTTTTTACAGTTGCCACTCTTGCATTTATCGCAAGGATCCGACTCTAATTGAAAGGTCCCCCTATTTATACCCTTTGGAGTGTTGAAACACCCTCCAAAGGCGCGCCCCTTTGTCAGTCAAAATTGGATTCCTTAGCAACAAAATTAAGGTATGACATCGATAATGACCATGCATCAGAACCCTAGTCTTAACCATTTCAAACTAGAGAACAACGAATAGAAGATTAGGAATCACATAGATGAAAACAACTAACTCATTTTTTTTTTCCTTGTTTCAAGATCATTCTCGGTAGACAAAGCCGAGTCTTGTCACTATCAACAAAGCATAAAAAGTAACAAGGACTAAGATGCGTTCCTTGGATTACTGAAAATCCTGTTCCCCTAGTTTGAAGTAGTCAGGACTAGGAATCGGTGGTAGATCTTACATCCCGCAACGTACCACGAAAAGGTGATCTACCCACGTTACGGGGCAACTTATGGATACTCTCATAGTTAGCTAATTCCATACATTTGAAACCAAAATTAAATTCTAGCAGTTTGAATTTATATAATTTTATTAAATTGTGTACTAATTTGTGTATAAAATTTAATCTGTGTGCTTTTTACCATGTTGCAATGGTAAAGTGCACACAGAATAAATTTTATACATTTAAGACATAGAAAAGGTTCAAAATATATGTACATGCACAATTCTTAACATTCTGAATGTTAAAAAAAAATTATAAAGTGATATCCCAAACGCATTTAGTTTTCAATATTTTGTAACTAAAATAATATATATCTCTGATACAGATTGTAATGCCTTGTTCAAACTGGAGAGTTATAACATGTTATAACGGTAGTCAAATAATTGCAACACAGATACTATCATCAAGATAGCGCTATAACATGTTATAACTCTGTAGTCTGAACGTACTATAAGTTTAAATTCTTCGAATACAAATGTAATTAAAAGTCAACGAAATAATACAAACCCATACCCATACAATGATTTTCTTTTTTGGTTCAGCTTGCTACGGCAATCAAATGGAAACTAATAAATTGTGTGATCCCTCTCCGCTCATATATCCTCCTATTGAATTCTAGAAACTTCGAAACAAATGTTATCAAGTGATTTGTATTGAAATTCTGAACTTTTCTTTCCACAGTAAATCACGAATAACTTTTTAACGGTTAAAAATGAGGTTAAAGTGTCTTCGGCAAAGTTATTTCCCATATTTTTGCTGCATTTGATTGATAATAGCGCTATGTTTGATACCCACTTTTGATGATTGAATGCAGTGATGTACAACAAAAAACAACATTTTAGAGAATTTGAAAAATTGTAACTAACAAATTGGTCACAGAACATGCCGTAGCAATTTTTTCTCTTATAGTTTTGACCCTTGGTAATCTGCGAAAAATATAAAAGGGTGATAGGGTAACTGATGATGGTTGGACCTATTTAGGCCGGTTTCACACGACGTCAACATTCATGTCGTATTTTTTTTAATGAATTCAACATATAATTATAAAAAATGTGTGATTAGGGGAAAGATCTACCTTTCTAGTTTCTAGTAATAAAATAAAAAGTTAAATATTATGAACAAATGATTTTATAAAACGTTTTTATTCAGCAAAGAATTATGATGTTGGTTGGACCTAAAAAATGATGATGGTTGGACCTATTTTTGCAAATGCTAGTTTAGCCCATATTTGTTCAAAAACTTTGTTTAGAGCTTATTGGTATAATGAAAAAACTCTTTTATACAGTTTTTATGAATTTGCTATTTAAAAAAAATCAAGAAATTTGAGTTTAACTTCGTTTTTAAAAAAGTTCACTTTGCACGCATTAGCTATTCATCGTGGCTCATTTTCTCGGAAATCATTGACCCGATTTGGAAATTTTTTAGCGTCAAACTATAGGTATTGTGGTCCCATTGAAAGCTATTGAATATTTTTGGAATCGGTCAACTGGTTCCGGAGATATGGCCGGAACAAGTTTCAAGGTATATGGAACATGGACCTAATTTTGACATGGAAGGAATAAAACCTATCATGCGACACTTCACATTACTTCCAAATTCGATTACAAGATCAAAAACAAAATTGAGTGCCTTGGACCACATTGGCCACTTCCGGGCATGTCCTGGTTGCCCCCAGGGAATTTAGGGGCTTAAAATGACAGGATATCAGAACTTAATTCCGGTTTTATAGTTCTTTTTCTCCTAGGAGTTAACATTTTATTTCAAGTTAATTCACACACAGAAGGTGTATGAGAAGTGCTTAATGTAAATTCATATTAACAGATTCTTTCGGCGCTTTCGTGGTAGTTCGGAAATCGGTGGTAACCCTTTCAGCCAACCTGACGATGGAATTCCTCCTTTAAAATTACTAGTGACGCAAGGTCTTTAGCAGCTTCCAAGATCTTATTGGTCGTCTTGGGACTGCCAGAAGCAGCGCGCATACAAACCCAATCCGCTAGCTGGTTCTCCAAATCAACACTCAACACTATTTCCCTTCCATATTTCTTGCCGTGGCTTCCCTTAATTTTTGCGTGCAGCGTCGTTTTCGGAATATTGTACCTTTTCTGTGACTGATACGCGGTAAGCGATTTATTTCTTACTAAAAAAACAGCCTCTTGAAGATTTTCGACCGTATAACTCTTTTCTTTAGCCATTTTTTCAATCGAAGAAACTGATCACTCGGCCAAAACGAAATCGAATTTCAAATCAGCTGCGCATGAAGGACGTAGACAAACCAAAGCGCACCTAGCGGCCGTCTTAGGAAACACATAGGTCCAACCATCATCATGCGTAGGTGATCATATTTATCTATTCGAATTTTGTCAATTATTCAAACATTTGAGTGAAACCAATGGATAAATGGCATACTAACGTGTTGTTTACACCTTAAAGCAGTATTTTACTACATGAAAATAAAAATAAATGTAAAAAATATTCCTTTTTTGTATGTTTGAAAGTAAGGCATGATGACGAGCTAATGCGTGGAAAGTGAACTGTTTTAAAAACACATTGAAACTCAATTGTTTTGAAGTTTTTTCAATAAACACCCATGCAAATTGAAGAAAAAGAGTTTTTTATGATAGTAAAGTGATCTTTGAAAATAAAAACTTAGCGAAGATTGACTAAACAAGCGATTGAAAAAATAGGTTCAACCATCATCAGTTTTTGGATAGGTCCAACCAGAATCAATTACCCTAATGCTATCGACTGGTGGACTGTTTGTAAATAAATTTTATCGGCTTTCAGTCTTTTAGCGAGTAAAAAGATGTTTTTCCTCTACTCCCAACGTTCCATCTTTTTGAAGGGATCTACAAAGAATTGTTACATAGCTTAAGATGTTTCAAAATTTACAAGTTTGGTGACTTACAGAAAATAACGTTTTTTGTCAGGTGGTCTGTGATTAACAATGCTTATCGTCACTTGATCGAAATCTTGCATCAAATTACCTATAATTAATTTTCAATTAGTTGTTGGAGTTTAAATACATATTCTACTGTCATAATTACTATCAAACAGGAAAGACGAGAAACAAAAACGGAAAAACTATCGGTCACTACTTTCTTTGCGCTAGTCACTTTGGTTCTAAACCGTCATTTTGTATCGTTCTAGTCAGGTGGGTAACATTTGTGGGTCTAATTCAGGGGAAACATGTCAGAAGGGTATAACTCGAAACGTAAACAATGACTTTGAACGTCGATTTCACGGAATCTGACTACACTAGCTCATAGAACAAACATTTCTCGGAGATGAACTAGCCATAGGCTAAAAATCTCCTTAATAAAGAACTAAAAAAAAAAAAAAAAAAACAAACATTTCTCTGTCAGATGATTTAGTTATAGCGAATTTGTTTATTATTCAGTTCCAACCTGGTTCGGGTATCAAGATTGGGTCTGCTTGTATTCTGACAAACGTCAGTTTGATCGTTTGTTTTAAAACCTACCTCAGGTTGAGGTTCGCTCTGACAAAAAGTTCGGTTTCGCACTGGGTTGGAACTGGTTCCAACCCCGATAATAAACAAATTCGCTATTAGTTTGAGTGGGTATGTAGCAATGAGATTTATACAGGTGTGGCACAAGAGGGTATTTGTTGGTACTAGTAGCAAAAAAAGGTAAACAATCAGTGATGACGTAAAACTCCTAAAAAAATTACATGAAAAAAGTGGAGTTTGGCGTCACGGAAAGTATAATTTACAAACACTATGACATATTTTGCACTACACGAATGCCATTTTACGATCATTTCCTCACCTG